CCCATGTCATCTCCCCCCAGCAAACAGGAGAAGCCTGTAGGCATACGTGAGCTGACAGAAAGGAACCACTGAAAAGGAGAGAATGAAGCCACTGAGGAAGGCAGTACTGGAGGCCATAAGAAACCAGACACAGGGACACAGAGGAGGAACGACGAAAAAGGTAGTTTTATCTAATACATAGCACTAGCAGAAAACATATGAACAGAAGCAAATGTTAAGATGTGTACAGGAGGGTCAGATGCAATGACTGTAATTCAAATTTTGGTATTCCACTGTCAAATTACAGTATTGTAGCAAGTAATGAAATACCAGTGTTTTCTTTGGTAGAAATACCATATCAGTATTTTAAAGTCTAACACCCAAATTATTTCCATCTTGTGTAAAATCAACATTAAAAAAATAATCGTTATTGGCTAAAACTCTTCTTAACCAAAGTTAAAATTAGTTTCAAATTGAAATGTTAGGGGCAGGGGGGAGGGAAATACCCTCATTTAGAAAATATGCTTATATGACCTTCAAGAGAAGGCAGAAAATGGCAATCAACAAAGAAAAAAAATTGCTATTCTAGTTCTAAGTTTCAAATAGACATATATGTGACTATCAGAACTGATACAGATACCTGCATCGGAATCTCCATGTACACATGATGAAATTAGAGAAGATGTAGATGCTTTCTTTGAAACAAAACCTACAGCCTGCTACCAAGAAAAAGACTGATGTTCCTGCAAAAAAAAAAAAAAGTAGCTCAACAAAGTTATCAAACAAAAGGTAAGATTACTTGAATACAAAGGAGTCACAGGGAAGTGCTTCCTTCAAGTTGGTTTAGAACTGCTTCACCACTGATCATATAGCCTGAAAAGCTTTTATTAGAGGTTGGAAAAGTATATATGCAACATACATGAAATTGAAAGCTACCATGAATTTAAAAGACTGCATTAGAACAAAAAATATAGGGTCCTCCCCGGTGGTTAAATCTCAGCACTAGGAGGCTACCTACAGCCACTGCAGATCTATCCCCAGACCAATCCACCGCCAGGGAGCTAACCCACATGGCACAGAAGAACTCTGTCTCACCTGGTGCTCCCCTCAGCAGTGTATTTCAGTCAACCCACCTGTTCTGCTTCCTACTGTCTCTGGTGAATCCTCTCATCTCCCTCCACCCCCACCTCTGGCCTACACACCAACTCTTATATATATAAATAAATGAACCTTAAAAATATATATATATACTTATTTTCTCAATCCTATTTTAACTGGTGATTGATATTGTTCTTCTCTCCATGGTATCACTTATATTTGTAATCCGAAAATAAAGTCAAAGTTATAAATATATATATATATATACACACACACACACACACAAAATAAACCTATCATGTATTTTTGTGTAGTTTAGCTTGCTCTTTAATATTTTATTTTTTATTATTTTTTACAGTCTTATCAATACTTTTCTTGTTGAGTGCTTAATTTTATTTTGACATTTGACATGTTGAAATAAATTTAGTTACACTTTTTTTTAATGAATTGCTTGGATGATAGGATATCACCAAATAAATTCAGTAACTACAGATCATTTCATTCTGATACAGCATTCATGCGATAGTAAAGTACTCATCCTCAGAGCCTTAATCTTAGCTGTAAAGAGACTAGCACCAGGAGGTTAAACTGTATGGAATTAACTGAAACTTAATGAAAATGGAAAAGATGCTGAAATATCACATGGAAGGAGTTATCAGTCAAAAGCATAGAAAGAAATGCCGAGAAACAGTAAACAGAATACAATAACAAGAACTTGTACTGGGTCTGGTAATAACAGGCTTTCAGGCTTTGTCAAACAATGCTGCGCAAACGAGTTTTTTCTTTGGATTTCCAAAATACAGGGCAAATTGCAAATTACCTTTATTAAATCTGTTTTGATCTCCCCCAACTAAAGGAACTTAATACATTCTGTATCACATACTCTGCCCAGGGAAGGAAAAAGGAAAATAAGTCAACAGAAGCATACATTGCATGAAAGAAAGAATCCAAGCAGTCAACAGAATTGTTTCTACCGGTTTGTAACTGGAGTTCAGCGTTAACTGCCCTAGCTTTATCTTTTACCCGAATACAGAAGGGAAAAAACATGCCCAATGCAAAAAGCTCTGTTTATCCAGTAACCTTACTCTAAAGCACACTGCAAGATACTACATTTTTATAATAATAGCTTACCCTGGAATGCCTCCTAATGGAGAAATTTCTCCTCTCCATTTCTGAAGTGCATTCTCACACAGGGGCATGAAAAGAGTAAATTTAAATGCCCTACTCTGATAAAAGACCTACTGCATGTAGTTACACAGCAAAAAAGTTGAAATTTCCAAGAATTGGGTGATGCTGAACCTTACTTATATGACTATTAAAGTGAACTTGACCATTTCTTAGCTTTACTAAGTATGCGCCCCCAAAAGCAAATAATGTATTTCATCGTTTTAAAAACACACACACAAAATCCTTTGTTGTAGCACTGAGTAAAAGCACTATCAAGAGTTACATGAACATATAATTAAAACAAGACAATTAGATTTTGCTACAATATAGAAATTAGAATACTCATTGTAAAAAAGAATCATCAACATATTAAAATATTAAAGACAGGTGAGGGTAGGGGGAAAAATTCTCCAAATAATAAAGTTAACAAAAAAAAAATCACACCATATTGCACACCTCTTCCCTCCAATTCCAAGTTTTAAAGGTAAAACCCTTAGAACTGTTCACATATGGTCACTGGACATCCCTGTATTTGACTTTTCCCCAGTTGTCTAAAGGGTATTAATCTCTATACCTACCACTATTGGTATCTCAAAAATCACCCTAGGACTATTCAGATAGACCATTATGCTACATTCATCAATTGATCAACTTCCATAAAACTGACAGAAAACTCCATTCATAACCTATCACTCACAAAGTTCTTCCGCCCCAAATAGTTAGTACATTAAAGTAAACTGCAGATGAGGTAAAATGACAAAAGACTAAATGCTGAAAATACATTTCATGAATTGGTACTCAGTTCAACTTCAGAAGTGGAAATGATTCAGATGAGTTCAGGAGTGACAAACAGAAGTGAGAATCACTTTTAACCAGGACATATCAGGCACATCTTCACAGAGAGGAGGTGTGTGCAGGTCCTTGAAAGATGGAAGGTTTCTGACCAATGAGCCAGAAGAAGTTCCCTGAAGGCCTGTTTTCAGGGAGGTCTTTTGTTGGCGATTAGGAGAGCACATGGCAGTGCAGTTAAAGAGCCTGGAGGCAGATGAAGAAACCTGCACATTCTGCTTGGAGGATGACTGAAAGGAGATGGGAGGCAACTCACGAAATATTTCGGGACCAGTAAAATGGTAGGAAGATTCTTAGGTTACCACAGCTGAATATAGCCTGGAGTGGCGGTGAGGAGTGTGCGTGGGGGTAGTGTGCGTGGGGGTGCGTGGGGGTAGTGGTCGAAGACACGGCAAGACGCTGCTGAAATTCTGAATACAAGATGATTCTAGCAACATAAATGATGATGTTAATTTAGATCTATTTCGTAAACGCCCAAGACAGGAGCCTGGTATGCTGATTAAATTTAAGTTTTGGCACTCCACCCCGCTGCAGCACTCTGTACTGTCAAAGACAAACGATTCTTCTGCGTTCCTGACGGGCACTTCCTGCAAGCCAACGCACGTTTTGTAAAAAAGTGAGAGTCACGCTTCGTAATCCGTATACATTGGGCAAAACTCGTAGGTCATGCAGAACTAGATTTGGCTAAGCAGTTTGGGATAAACTGTTTACACAACGAAATGGCCGATGTTATTATCCTCAGAGAAGACAGAGACCCAGCTCCCCTCAGTTGAAAACTTTCTACTTGGGAGGGGTATTCCCAGTTCTCCAGGATACGTCTGATCACAAAGCAGGCCTTTCGTCAGCAGCATCGTCCACTCACCAAAAGGTTTACATTGGGCTCCCCGCTGGGATCGCCCTCTCCCCACCCCCTGAGAAGCCGGCGAGGCCCGACCAGCCCCGGGAAAGGCGCACGCCGCCACCCTCGCACCGGGAGGAGAGGCTGGCTCCCCCCCCCCAGCCAGCGGCGCGGCGGAGGGGGGCGCTCCCGCAGCCGGGAGTCGGGTACCCGCCGCAGCCCGCTCCGCAGCCTCGCCCGCCCTGGCCCGGCCCGGCCCGGCCCGGCCCGCTCACCTCGGCCCGGGCAGGTTCTGGGCCCTGTACCGCTGCTGGCTGTGGCTGCAGCTGCTGGGCGGGCGCCGGCGGCTCCTTATTCCGGCGGCTCGGGTCTTCCTCGGGAACAGCCCGGACCCCGGCCGGAGCCCACAGAAGCGGAACCAGCAGGAGCAGGAGCAGCTGCAGCGCAGACGCGCGGCCGCTCCCCGGGGCCGCCGCCATCCCGCCAGCCAAGCCGCCGCGCTCTGGCGCCGCAGAAGGAAGTGCGGGCGACGGGAAGCCTCCTCCCCGAGCCGCCTCCGCCGCGCGTCCTTCACGCCTCGCCGCCGCTTAGCGAGGAGCCGGCACCATGCGGGACGAGGCTGAGGCGGGCGTCCGCGGCCGCCGGCCCGATCGATCCCCCGGCCCGCGGTGGCCACACGACTCCGCCAACTGCCTCGGTGCGGCCCAGCCCCAATTTCTCCGGGCCCCGCCCCTGCCCGAGGCGCCCTCCCATTGGCCCGGCGTCCGCCCCTGCGTCGTGACGTAGGCGGGCAGGTTGAGGTGCGGCTCGCGCCCTCCTCCCATTGGACCCGGCGCCCGGGCAGGTACCCGGCGCGGATGACCTTCCTCTCGCATCCTCCAGGCGCCCCCCAGGACCCGCTTCCGCTTGCTCTTCCCAGGGTCCTAGAGCTGCGCCTCTCTTTACTTCTGTTCCCTCCTGAGCCTTTCGCCCTGTTACCCAGACCCGCCTTTCGGTTCTCTCAGCTTTTCCTAGGTATTGAATTAGTTTGAGCGCCCGGGTTACGTGGCACTTGCCACGGGAACCGCCACACCTAAGCCGGTGCTGTGCTGGGTCACCGAGTCTCAGCACGCCGATCTACAGTGTTCGTGGGAGGTTAAGGTGCGAGCATTTCCAGCAACACACCTGAAATGCGATTTCGTAATGACATGAAAATGTTCAAGTCTTGTTTTAGGTATTGTTAGCTAGTTAGAGATTGCCTATAATTACTCCCAAAAGAAAGAGTCGTAACTCTGGCCTTGCTCTAGACCGCTTTTCTGTTTCTGATACTTGTGTTGCTCTGCTCTGCTTAGACTGACTTCTTTGGCTTTTGAAAAGAGTGTTTAGGATTTTTTTGCAGGATGCGATTGGGATGGGCACGAGTGAAAAAACCAAAGAGGTTTGGTTAGATGTGAACGTATTTTTACCTCTTGGCTTTTAAAAACTTGAGCTGTTTATCAGAAGTTTCACTCAGTGTTTAGCGCCAGCTGTTAAATTGTAAGTATTCTCTATGTGTTAAACATGTACTTTGAAGAGCTAAGGAAGGTTATCACTAAATACTGGAACAAGGAATCCACCCAGACAATCTGTGACAAAGCTTTGAGTTCACCAAAGAGACCATGCTAAGGGTTAGTGAAGCTTTTCTCTGGGCCTTCTTTTTCTGACGATAATTAGCTTCTTCCATTCTGTCAGTGTAAGCTATTCATTCTTCCAAAACCTGTGGAAGCAGTCTTGTCAGAAAGGTTCTCCAACATTTCCCCTTCCAGAAATTATCTCTTGCTTCATGCTACTGTAACTGTTTCATGTATTGTATAAGTAATAGGAAGTTTCCCTCACAGTTTTGGGAGGCAACTTTTGTGTCTCCCAGTTCATCTCAGAATGCAAATGTTTGTACCCTCACAAACTGGTAGTAGAAAACCCCTATGTCCCATCTATCCAGACCATCTCTCGCCTTCTGACTCCCTCTGCATTAAGCATACAGGATGCACTGGGCTTCAGACATGTCTGAAAGGGATTCTAATGTCTCAGCATAATGGATGAGGCAGATGGGGAAATGTGGCACAACTGGTCATGTGGTGCTGATTCCTGGAAGGTGCTTGATTTGTTTTCTGGGGTGTCCCATCACTCCATGGCGCTTTAACAGGAAGTGCTCCCGGCCAAATTCCCAGTCACCTCAGAAGAAAAAGCACTGAGGACCTCTTGGTTCCAGTTGCAGGTGGATGCTAGGCCCTGGCTGCTGAGTGAGATGTGGCTTTAGAGCAAGGCAGCAAAGCAGTTTAGCAGAAGTTATCAAGTAAACGCACAGAAAGTATTGCGCCTAAGCCACCTCCAGAATCTGAGGCCACTGTGGCCTTTCCAGGCTGCCCTGGAGTCACCTGATTGCACAAGTCTAGGCTTCAGGTGGCAGATTCTGAAGTGAGCAGTTCTTTTGCTACACATACCCAGGCATCCAGGCCATGCTCAGAAACGCACAGTCTGGACTGGTTCCAGTTGTCACTACCCTATGAAAATACAGGTATTGTTCTATGCCTCACTGGTGACTAAATCCTTAAGGGAGAAAAAAAGAACATAGGAGGTTACTTTTCCAGGTGAACAGTAGAGCTATTTACTTGACCCTACTCTTGCAGCATGGGCCTTCCTGGTTGGCCCCTGGCTTCTCCGCTTGCCATTCTATAGACTCTAACCAGCAGGCAGGATGAGCTTTCAGAATTTCCTAATTCCTTTCCTCTACATAGCATTATCTGATGGCCTCTAAATGCTGAGAATAAAGTCCAAAGTCCCTCCCTCTGCTTTAAAGTTCTAGGTGCTGTAAGCTCTGCCTGCTGGCGACACCGTCCTCTGCTCTACCTCGCATGCCATGACCAGCCAGTCTTGCTCCTCACTCTCAGCTCAGCACCCCTGGACTTGTTTCTCTTCTTAGAACACTCTTCAGTCACCTCCTGAAGGCAGAACATCCGCCCGTCCATCTAAGGTAGGCTCCTCCCTCACTCTTGTTGTCTCTCTCAACTTTATTAATTTTTTTAAAATTTTTAAAAAAGATTTATTTATTTATTTGTACAGGGTACTGGGGTACAGGCCAGAGATGCGGAGGGTGAGAGGATTCACCCGGGACAGAGCGGGGAGCAGAACAGGCAGAGTGATGAAGTACACTGCTGAGGGGAGCAGCGGGTGGGTCAGGAGAGGTCTGCCACGCCATGTGGTCACCTCCAGGGCAGGCGGGATCGAACTCATGCGGAGGTGGCTTAAGCTTCTCTGTGCTGTGCTTTAACCCGCTGCGCCACCAGGGAGGGCCCCCTTTATTAATTTTTTAATAGCACTTATCACCATTTGATATTGTCTTGATTCCCGATTTGTTAACACTTTATTGTCTGTATCAATTAAAAGAGAAGCTCCAACAGAGCAGAAATCTAACTGCTTTGCTCACTATTCTCAAGATATAAACTGTGCCTGTCTATATAAAAAACCCTCAGACATGCACAAATCATTAGTTTAGTAATTTCTGACTGTGGAAGATGCTATCATCACTGCAGTGGACTCACCACAGTCATGACTTTTAAAGACACCAGCAAGGACATTGTGAAATGAATTAGAATTAGAATTAGAATTAACTTTTTTTAAAGATTTACTTATTTATGCATACAAGAATTGGGGTACAGGCCAGAGGTTCAGGAGGTGAGAGGCTTCACCAGAGACAGAGTGGGGAGCAGAACAGGCAGATCCATGAAGTACACTGTTGACGGGAGCAGCGGGAGAGACAGGAGAGGCCTGCTGCACCCTGTAGGTCACCTCCCTGGCGGGGATTGAACTCGTGCTACAGTGGCTGGTGATAGCTTCATAGTGTTGAACTTTAACCCCTTGCGCTACCAGGGAGAGCCATATATTAGAATTACTTCAAATGTGAAATCTTTGAAGGTGTGTGCCAACTTGATCAGAGGTACAAAGGAAAAGATCTCTGTGAAAGCACCAGTTAGAGTGCCTAGCAAAACTCAGAGAATGGACACAAGAAAAACCGCAGGTGAGCCTCCCGGTGGTACAGGATAGCACTATTAAGCTATCGCCAGCCACTGAGCATGAGTTCCATCCTCAGTCAGGGAGGTGACCCACAGAGCACAGCAGACCTCTCCTGACCTGCCCGCTGCTCCCCTCAGCAATGTATTTCAGTAGATCTGCCTGTTATGTTCCCCGCTCTGTCTCTGGTGAATCCTCTCATCCCCCTCACCTCTGGCTTAGACCCTAGTTCTTGTATGCATGAATAAATATTTTTTAAGGGCTACTTTAAAAAAAAGAAAGAAAGAAGAACCCTATGTGGTAGAGTCTCTTTAAGACTGGAGATGGTTTTCAGGTGAGGATCCACAAGCGACTCACTGACTTGCCCAGCCTTGAGATTGCTTAACAGACTACTTCCATTAGAAATGAACCAAGAGTCGAAGCTGAAGTCGCCAATGCAGATAGGTAAGTCACATTTTTAGTAAATTGATAGTCACTTGTTTAAATAAACAAACTGAGAACAAAACAAGACAAAGACCAATCTAGACCTTGGCTCCAAAACAGATTTTTATCTTGTGCTAGTTTCACCATTGAAAGTCAGTTCATTCACATTTATATATTCTCCCCAAAAGGTTGAAACAACTTTGAAGGAGCCTCTATGCCTGCTTTATCCTTGTCCCCACTATGAAAAGTCTTGTTCATTGATACCTGTCTGTGCTTCTCCCATAGACAGTCTTACAGGTCTGTGGCTGATGTGGTATCTAAAGGTACAGGAATGACCATGTCTCAGCACCTTCCTTTGTGGGTTCTATCAGTCTGGGAATGTTTAGTGGAAAATGATGCGGAGAGAAAGACTAAATTATAAGGTTGGCATGCATGATTTTTCCATCCTTCCCCATTCCCCAAAAGAAAGTAGTTGGAGAAATAACCTAAGAGGACAAAATAAGTTATATAAGTTGTATCATCACACCAGTCATAAAAGTAAGAGCCAAGGGGTCAAATCTCAACACAGTGAAGCTATCCTCAGCCACAGCAGCACAAGTTCAGTCTCCAGCCAGGGAGGTGACACACATGGTCCAGCAGACTTCCGTCCTGCCAGCTGCTCCCCTCAGCAGTGTATGTCAGCAGATCTGCACCCACCCCCATTCTGTCTCTGGTGAATCCTTTCAAAACAAATCTTTTTTA